CATTCAAATCAGTGGGTTTTAACTTTGGTTGGTTTTACTTAATGTGTGTATATACTTAATGTGTATATACTGTTTCATCGTAGAGCTCTGGGTGCAGCATCCCAAGTATTTTTCCAGTCTACAATTAGGATGGGATTGAATGCCCCAGAAAAGTGTCATTTAAAGAATACTGCACAACATTGTGCTTGTTAGCCTAATTACTGGGAAGAGGGAAGGAGCCATTTGGATTTTCTGCCTCAGTCCTTAAAATGTCCCTTGGACTAAGCCAGGGTACACACACACACACACGATGAGTGCTAAAGTAAATATGCCCAGTTTTATGAATGCCATATTGTGGAAAGGGATGAACTCCAGTTATGTGGGTTACTAAACTGCCATTTACTAGGAAAATTAAGAGAACTGATGTGGTGTGATGATTTGAGTGTTGGACTATGAGGCTGAAGACCAGGGTTTGAAGCCCCACTTAGCTCATGGGAAATCTATAGGGTGACAAATTGCACACTCTCAGCCTCACAAAGATAGAAACTCAACCCTCCTCTGAACAAATCTTGCCAAAAGGACACCATAGTAGGGTCACTTAGGAGTATCCTTGAAAGTGCACAACAGAAACATTGGGAAATTAGCAAAAATGTCCATCATTATGACAAGTGTGTGATGTAGGAAAAATATGCTCTGGTCTCACATGTGACCCCTTGCTCTGTTAGGCCAGCCAGTTGCGGGTTAGAAAGAAGATGGCAATCTCCATTTGCTACAATTTTCCTGAAATCAAGAGGCAAAACACAATTATTCACTAAGGGCTCTTCCACACAGCCATATAACCCAGAATATCAAGGCAGAAAATCCCACAATATCTGCTTTGAACTGGTTTATCTGAGCCCACACCGCCATATATTCCAGTTCAAAGCAGAAAATGTGGGATTTTATTCAACTATGTGGAAGGGGCTTTAGATGGAAGAAAGGAAAAGTCTAACATGCTTCATGACAATAGCTGCAGCAGGTGGCACCAGGAATGCATTCATTACTACATTGTGGGTACTGTTCTTTAATAATGGCAGAATGTGGCAGAATCTGGTGCAAGTGGAACAGGATTTTGGACACTGGCTCTTTATAGCATTCTCTTAAATATCAGACTCGGGCAATCAAAGACATTTGCCATTTGGAAATAAAACATAGAGGGCTCAAAAATAAAGGTGCCATTTTCAAGTACGCAGAGGACCTCCCAGATCAGCAAATGAACAGACAACTGTAAATTAAACTGCAACCTGACTTGAGAAGGACCAGTAAAATATGGAATACTGAGTATCCAATGAGAGAAAAGGAGAGGTTTGGAAAGGGAAAAGAAATTGTGTTCTTTGTCATGCTGGTTTGTTATACAAAGACTGGTTTCCCTTAAACTATATTTGTCCCAAACAGAAAACATTTAAGGCATACTTTCCTGGGGGCATTGAACTAATCAGCTCAAATTTCATCTTCAAGGCTGCAATTTTGGATTTGGTTTGGGGGGGAAACCAGGGTTGAGGGGTCAGCATTGCCTCCACAACATCAACAGAAATGACACTGCCAACCCTATCATTAGGCAGAGTACATTGATTTAGGCAGCAGATTTTAAATGTTATGAAAGGACAGGAATTTATTAGTTGGTATTGTTGCATTTTGGCCATTATGAATGAGGAGAGGTGTTTGTGGGATTTGCTGTCTCAGGTGCCAATACGACTTGGCTAGCTTTGGATACAGAATACCTTGATCTGGAACACTACAAAATTTCTTAAGCTGCCGGTAGCTCTGACAAATAATTCCAAATCAAATCATTTATTTTGGGCATAGACCGACACAGGAAATAAAAGCCACATTTTCATACAAACTTGGTACATTTAGTACATTCAAAATGTAAATATAAATACTGAAGCATAATAGGGGGTGAGGGAGCAGAAGGGGAAACAGAGCAAAAACATACAATGCACAGGTCTATCAGCAAATTATAGAATCAAGGAAGATGATTACTGGATACACAGCTAACTTTAGGGACCAGTAATCTCCTGAAGGATATTGTATGCTGCTGCACAAAACTTTGCAACATTGTAGGTTGTAGCTGAATTAGTATCTACAAGTAGCAGGGAGGTAGAAAATTGTCCTGAATGGCTTGTGTACTTGTATATCAGAGATAAGATAAGCCTGGCATGGATATCCCTGGAGGACCACATGTTCTATTATTTCTATATGACTCAAGACACAGGGGCAGAGCCTCTCTGGGAAAGAGACCTTCTGGTAGCAGCCTTCGAGTACAGCTGATGGGAGAGCATGGCATCGAGCCAGGGTGAAAGCGCTTTGATGAATAGGAACCTCTAAATTTGTTAAATATGCCATAAGAGAGGCAAGATATCTGTTGTCTTCGTTGATAAGCAAGGTTGGAATGGAGGCCAGAGCTAGTTGGCTCTCTGTGTCTATGATATGTTGTTTAATAGGTGCTTTGGCTTGAATGTAATCCATAATGAATAGTAGACCTGGAGAAAATCCCAATGAGGACATTTTGGATGCTACCACCTGCTTCCATGTAGATTGGAAGTCATCCTCCATGATTAGTGGGGCAAGACCAAGGGGTGTACAGGGTATTCTGAGCCAGAGGTTGAGTATGGCCACCCACACCCTGGCCTCCACCCTCATAAAGCCTGTATCCAGTCTCAGGGTGGGATTAGAGACGCATTTAGGTACCTGCAAGGCCGATCTGATTTGAAACCATAGTAAACAGAGTTCAAAATTGCATGAAGAGATAAGGCATCCTACTTTGCGTATTCCACTAAGCCAAGTTTAGCTTAGTGTCATGTTTTGTGTCATGTGCCCATCGTGCGTTCTGTTAGCGAATCAAGCAGCAAAACCAGATGCATTCTTGTCATCATACAAGGACTGTAGGTTATATTGGTTTTGTAGGGCCATAAGATCCTGGAATATACTGTTATGAAGGCACTCGTTTCTAGGGTCCCATTTAATCTGAACCTTAATGCAATCTATATATATAAATCTGTTAGGTTGGTTCAACGGGACAGCAAAACTCTAAAAAACTCCCAACGAAACTTAACCAAAATTCCCATGCCCATAACACAACCCACAAGGTACAAACATATCTACTCAAAATGAAAAACAACACAACAACACACTCACAAAACGGCAAAACAACAAAACTCAAAAAAACCCAAGGAAACTTAACCAAAATTCCCATGCCCATAACACAACCCACAAGGTACAAACATATCTACTCAAAATGAAAAACAACACAACAACACACTCACAAAACGGCAAAACAACAAAACTCAAAAAACCCAACGAAACTTAACCAAAATTCCCATGCCCATAACACAACCCACAAGGTACAAACATATCTACTCAAAATGAAAAACAACACAACAACACACTCACAAAACGGCAAAACAACAAAACTCAAAAAAAACCCAACGAAACTTAACCAAAATTCCCATGCCCATAACACAACCCACAAGGTACAAACATATCTACTCAAAATGAAAAACAACACAACAACACACTCACAAAACGGCAAAACAACTGAGCATGCGCATTGGCGCCCAGCCGCAAGTTCCCTGGCGCACGCACACAGCCTTCCGGCCAATGTTCCCTCTGCAGAAGCCATGCCCACTCCAAGCCCCGCCGCGCCGTTTCCCGCACGCACACACACAACCCCACGCTCCATCACTCCCCCCGCCGTCGCACACACACACGCAACCCCACGCTCCATCACTCCCCCGCTGCCGCACACACACACGCAACCCCACGCTCCATCACTCCCCCCGCCGCCGCACACACACACGCAACCCCATGCTCCATCACTCCCCCGCCGCCGCACACACACACGCAACCCCACGCTCCATCACTCCCCCCGCCGCACACACACACGCAACCCCACGCTCCATCACTCCCCCCCCCCGCCGCACACACACACACAACCCCACGCTCCATCACTCCCCTGCCCCAATCTTACCTCCTTTTACTTCACGCCACCTCCAAACGCCACCCCGCCCCTTCCCGCCCTGTCAAAATCCAGGAAAGACGGGAAGGAAAGAAGGAAGAAAGAGAAAGGGAGGTAAAGAAAAAGGGGGAAGGAAAGTTAGAGAAAGAAGGAAGAAGAAAGGGAAAGAAAAGGAAAGATGGAAGGAAAGAAAAGAGAGACAGCAGAAGAGAAAGAAAAAGGGGAAAGGAAGGAAAGAGGTAGAGAAGGAAGAAATGAGAGACAGAGGGAGGGAAAGAAAAAGAGGGAAGGAAGGAAGGAGAGAAGTAAAGAAAAAAAGGGAATGAAGGAAGGAAAGAGGGAGTGAAGGAAGGGGGAAGATGTAGAGAAAGAGGGAGGGAAGGAAAGAAGGGAAGAGAGAAGGAAGAAAAGAGACCAGAAGAGAAAGAAAAAGGGGGAAGGAAGGAAAGAGATAGAGAAGGAAAAGGAGAAGGAAAGATGGGAGGGAAGGAAGGAAGGAGGGAAAGAAGGAGAGAAAGAGGGAAGGTTGGCCACAGCAACGCGTGGCGGGTAAAGGTTGTTATTTCTATGATTATTATGATGCTATTATTCCTATGAGACCCTGGGGGAATGGGAGAGGTGTCAGGTCCCAGAGGCAATGCATTGCATTATTGTTATTGTTAGGATGGTGGTGAAATAAAAGGAAATAAAAAGAGAAAGAAGGAAGCAAACAGGGAGAGAAGAAAGGCAAAGGAAGAAAGGGGGAGGGAATGAAGGAAAGAGAGGATGAAACCAAGTAGTGAAAGAAGGAAAGAAAGGGGGAGGGAATGAAGGAAGAAAGGAGAGAAAGGGGGAGGAAAAGGGAGAAGGAATAGGTAGGTACCTCTCTTTCATAATAGTCCAGATATCTACCTCAACTTTGATAAGTTTTACTATAGGCCACAGCAACGCGTGGCAGGGCACAGCTAGTTATATATTAATGAGAAGGCTTAACTACTGTTTGTTAGATTTCAGGACCAAACTGACTTTCCTTCTTGGTTTGTTTAGAGATCTGAAGATTGAAAATTTCCTTCTAGATGAAAACAACAGCATCAAAATTGTTGGTAGGTCTATATCAGATATCAAAATCTCTTATACCAAAATTTGTTCTTGTTGTCTTGCATTTTATGGTTTGCAAATGATGCCTTGGCTTAATACATATAGCTATAGGCTACATTTAATATTATATGAACTGACATCCCTTTGCTCAAGAGGGGTTCCTTAACTTCTCTTTGGAGAAAATTTGTGTTCATGTGGGAGGAATTTAAATCCAACTGAGGTTTCAGCTGCGATGGTAGAAGGACACTGTTAGATATGACCCAATGAGAGAAAGGATTTGGAGAATAGACCTTAATCTGATTGTATCATTCAGCCTGAAATAGTTTTCTTCTGCTATATAACAAAACAGTCAAAATTTGAGAGAGGGGGACATTTTCACTATACCAGAGAGATGGACATCTGTGAAAGGCAAAGGCACACATTAGTCTTGGAGAGATCTTAGTATAACCTTTCATCTACACCAAAAAATGAAATAAAATAAACATTCACCTCCATTATTATAGCAGTCTGAGCACTAATATGTGGCTCTAGAGTCCAGGGTTCAAATCTCCGGTCAGCAATGAAAACCCTCTCAGCTTCAGAGGAAGGCAATCGCAAACCTCTTATAAACAAATCTTGCAAAGAAAGTCCTAATAGGGTTGGGAATGTACACAAGAGCAACAATCAACACCATCTTTGGCCCAGGAGAAGATATGACTTCTATTTCACTTTCTGTTTGTTGTATAAAGCTTCTCCTGAGCCTAACTTGGCCAGGGGGAAATATTGTATGATAGGGGCCCAAGTGGCCCCTATCATACAATAATAAAGAGGGTCTATAGTATACAAAAGGGCCCCATGGTGGTGTTTTATTTCATTGTAATTTGTTGCTTGGGTTTGGCCTCATGTGAGCCGCCCCAAGTCCCTGTTGGGGGAGATGGTGGTGGAGTATAAATAAAGATTATTATTATTATTATTATTATTATTATTATTATTATTATTATTGTGGTGGTTAAACTGCTGAGCTGCTGAACTAGCCGACCAAAAGGTTGGCAGTTCAAATCTGGGGGGGGGGGGGTGAGCTCCTGCTATTAGGCCCAGCTTCTGCAAAACAAGCAGTTTTAAAACATGCAAATGTGGGTAGATCAACAAGTACTGCTTCAGTGTGAAGGTAAATGCACTCCATGCAGTCATGCTGGCCACATGACCTTGGAGGTGTCTACAAACAACGCCGGCTTTTCAGCTTAGAAATGGACATAAGCACCAACCCCCAGAGTCAGACACAACTAGACTTTATGTCAGGGGAAACCTTTACCTTATAGTATACAAAACTTTTTAATCACTTCATCCAAACTATAATAAAATGAAATCATGAGTTTCACATCAGTGTTGATGTGCCACTTTGCAGTTTATTTGGTGGTTCTGCTCAAGGGACAGCTGTAAAGTTTAGGTATGATTGTTTTTTGGTTCTTTTGGAAATGAAAAAAGCTCTCTGGATGCTACACTAGATTTAAATCAGACTTTAATGTAAGGTGGTGGTATTGTCACACCATGATGGGACACCAAAGAACCTGCTCTGACTTTCATACCATGCATGAAGTGTTCCCCTCCACATCATGTTTATTACATGAATTATATCTCCCTTGGTATCCTGGGTGTATTCTAGCACATACATGAAGTTCTTAATTGAACAACCTAAGATGGTTCAGAAGAAGAAAAAATTATTAACAAAATATCTTCAGAAAAACTTACTATAACCTATGGAATCCACCATAGGTGTTGTCTTCTGTTTTTTGATTCAGGTGTTGGACATGCATAGGGAAATGAAGCCAAAGCCTATTAACAATGGTTTATTGAAAATTGTTACAATGTTGCCCCATCCCTCTTTGCATTTTACACCTTTTTCATGTACAACTTTTTAAAAAAGATTGATTTTTATGATACTATGTTTCCACTCTTTTCTCAACTGCTGAAATGTTGACATACGTTCACTGTGAAAATGTCATCACTAGGAAGACCTGAGAGAGTTCCCATTGAAATGAGGAGACAGTTAGCACCGCAGTGCCATTGTTCTGTGCTCTAAATTTCAGATAGATATTAACATAATTGTAACGTGGTGCAATGTTGTCACATTCTTTTGAACAGTAAGAGCTGTAAGTAATATTCGGAGTTCTATGACTCCGGTGTAGAGTTTCTGCGCTTTGGTTAGTATTTCAATTGTAAGCTGTGATTATCAGAAATCAAAAACTAAATAAAATACTGAAACATTTGCCTGATTAATAAACCCAAAAGCTTTTGTTAGGCTTAGATCCCATGAGGAATGTGTTGTTGTTGTGTACCTAAAAGTCATTTATGACTTATGGTGACCCTAAGAAGAAGTTATCATGGGGTTTCTTGGCAAGATTTCTACAGAAAAACTAACTGCGTAAGCAAGTGCCATTTGAGTTGTTGTAGGTTTTTCGTGCTGTGTGTCCATATTCTCTAGAAGCATTCTCTCCTCACTTTTCACCTGCATCTATGGCAGGCATCCTCAGAGATTGCAAGGTCAAGTGCCATTTGCTCTCTCTCTCATATACACACCCATACTAACCACAACCTCACAGAATTGTTTTGAATATAAAACAGAGGGAGAGGAAATGTGTAAGCTTAGTTGAACTCCTTAGTAGAAAGGTGGAGGCCAATGAAATGAACATGGGAAGGAAATATGCCTATACAGAATTAACTATCAGCTTTGATCTTGTCAGTAGGACTATGTTACTGTGCTAATACCATTCTAATACTGTTCTAATGAGTCAATTATATAAGCTGCCAGTCATAACATCTAGAGTTAGATGTTTAGCTGGCATGAATACATTGCTTGGGCCTTCCACTCAACTCACATACAAAAGGAAAGGAAAGGAAAGGAAAGGAAAGGAAAGGAAAGGAAAGGAAAGGAAAGGAAAGGAAAGGAAAGGAAAGGAAAGGAAAGGAAGTACCTGAACTGGACTAAAGGTTGGTACGAAATCCATGATATCCAGGCAAGTAGGAAGTAACGCTTGCTATATGAAGTTTTAAAGCTCATGTGGAATGGGAAGCACTGAGGAAAATGCCATGGTGTTAACAGGGGTGAAAACAGAAATGGGAAATGGTGTAACATGAAAATAAGCTGCTATCTTTATTGAGAAAACTCTTTGCTTCAGATAATTATGTGATAGGAGTTGTACCTTTTTGTTGTTGTTCGTAAAGTCATTAAATAGATCCTCAATAAGTATGTATGTATTTTACTCTGTGTGTGTTGGTCTGTTCAGATTTTGGACTGAGCAACATCATGAAGTTTGAGGGCCTGTCTCAGGAACTGTTAAACACGCAGTGTGGGAGTCCAGCCTATGCAGCCCCAGAACTCCTGGCTCACAAGAAATATGGGCCAAAAGTGGATGTCTGGTCTATGTAAGTAAAAGAAGGATTTTACAACTTCTTTAGCACTTTTATATCATTCATATACAGTGACTGAAGACCAACAGGCCAGAGATTCAAATCCGGGGAGAGTGTGGATGAGCTCCCTCTGTCAGCTCCAGCTGCCCATACAGGGACATGAGAGAAGCCTCCCACAAGGATGGTAAAACATCAAAACATCCAGGTGTCCCCTGGACAACAGCCTTGCAGACAGCCAATTCTCTCATACGAGAAGCCACTTGCAGTTTCTCAAGTTGCCCCTGACACAAAAAAGACCTTGACTTAAGATTTTAATTAATTCCCTTGACTTAAGATTTTAATTAATTTCCTGAATGAACTCTTAACTCAAAATGCTCTTATCTCAAAGTAAAATTTACCATTGAAATGCTATTCTACTCTTTTATATGATAACATGGCAACATATTATGTTGTATTCATAGCAATTCCATGTTATTTTTTTCTTTGACAGAGGAATCAGCATGTTCGCCATGTTGACTGGCACATTACCATTCACTGTGGAGCCATTTAATATCAAGCAACTTCATCTCAAGATGGTTAATGGTGAAATGAATCCCATTCCTCCAAATATTTCCACAGGTAAGCCATTTCCAGTTATATATTTTATGCAGATTTGAAGCTCCAGTCAAAAGTATGTACTTCTTAGTCTTACTGTTTTCACCAGGACTGACATTCTGTTAAGAGAGATAACCATGTGTACATTGTGGTGTGCATGCAAGACACATTATTCTCCATAGTACAACATAGAAATTCAGCTAATTGGAAGCAGCATTGGGCAACACTGTACATTGTAGTCATGCCCTGTGTGTTATGATTATGTTTGGTGCCTTGCAGTTGTACATTATACATTTTATATTGTACATTAATCATTGTGTATGTTGATTGTGCATTGCATATTTCACAATGGAACTCAGTCATTGACATATGTCACTTGATATTATGGTCCTGCACATGGGTTGTGTAATGATGGTGCAGCAAATATTTGCATGTAGATATTTTAAAGGAATATGTTGCATGTAGATATTTTAAAGGATATGTTGAAGGAATGTGGGATTACAGCCCCAGAGTGAAAATTCTTCTGTTGGCATCAGTAAGATTCATTAAGGTCAATGTTGCAACTTTCTCTACCATAAATATTATTAAACCTTCTTGGAAATAGATGGTGGATGCTAGATAGTCCATGCTATTCTATAATGGTAGTCAATGGATTCTCAGCCAGTGGGTCGCTGAATCTCTTTTGGGTTTTGTTTAAACTATCTAAGGGTGCTTTCACACAGCCATATAACCCAAAATATCAAGGCAGGAAGTCCCACAATATCTGCTTTGAACTGGGGTATCTGCATCCACTCTGTCACATATTCCAGTTCAAAGCAGATAATGTGGGATTTTATTCAGCCATGTGGAAGGAACCTCAGATGCACAATCCATATTGGGGGTAGAATTCAGCACCTTGGATAGCATCTTTAAATTTCATATTTGAGCCCAACATGGATCAACAATTTTAGATATGCACATGGCATGCTAATAGAAAATAGTAAATACTTGGAATGATCTTTGAAAGTCAAAGAAGAAAGTACAAAGGTAGGTTTGCAGTTGAACATTAAGAAAACATAAATAATGACCATGGATGATTTGCATAACTTTAAAGAAGGCAATAAAGACATTAAAATGGTTCAAGATTTTCCATACCTTGACTCAATTATTAGGAAATCAGAAGAGGGCTAGGACATGGAAGGACAGGTATGAAGGAACTACTCAGGATCCCAAAGTGTAAGCACATATAACAGAATATTAAAGTATTCCTTATTTTATGTATGGTTATAAAGTCTGGGCAGTGAAGGAAGCCAATAGACAGAAAATCAACTTATTTTGAAATATGGTGCAGGAGAAGACTTCTATTGATACTGTGGGCTGCTAAAAAGACAAAGAGTGAATCCTAGAACATATCAAGCCCAAACTCTAACTAGAAGCCAAGAGGACTAACTGTCATACTTTGACCATATAATGAGAAGTCATGACTCCCGAGAAAAGTTAATAATGTTTGGTAAGGTAGATGTTAGCAGGAAAAGAGGAGTACCCTATTTCAGGTGGATATAAACAATCATGGAAGTTACAGCACTGAGTCTGCAAGACCTGAGCAGGCCTGCTGATGACAGGGGGACTTGGATTTCCCTCATTCAAGGAATCACCATTAGTCAAAGTCAACCTGATGGCAGTTAACACCAAAGGATAGAGAGTGTGCAGCCAAGCATTGACATTTACATGCTATTAATATGTGAATTTACATGCCTATATTTTGCATTTGGGCTTTGATTTGGTGTTCTTGTCAGATTGTACAGCATACTGAGTCACAGTATGATGATATGGTCACAGAATCAAGGCAAAAAGACTGGGATAACGAGGACTAAAGAAATTATATGTGACAGGTCTGTTGGTAGACCCAGGCTAAATCTATCATGGAAACATTTGTGATTATGTGGGCTAGAACCTTCAGATACACCTTCCATACTGAGACGCACACCTTTTCAGTGTCAATAACTGTCAAGTGTCAATAACTGAAAATGAATGAAATGAGTAACTGTAAAATGAATGAAATTTACCCCCACTTTAATTGCTGTAGCCTAATGCTATAGACTCCTGGGAGTTTTAGTTTAGTTTGCACTCTTTGGCAGAGAAGCCTAAAGACCTTATAAAAACGACAACTCCCAGAATGCCGTACCATTGAACCAGGGCAGTGTAGAATCTAACTTCATTCATTCTACAGTATAGATGTGCCCCAAGTAATAAGAAATTAATTGAACAGAACATCAATCTCACATGCATCTTAGTCTGGCCAGACCAACATGGAATTGGGTCACCAATTTCTGCTTCAAATAGTGAAGCAATACACTATCAAGACAATGTTGCACCTCTGTTTTCCTCCATTGATCATATTACTACACAGCGAAGTTCAAACAGAGTAGCAAAATGATAATGAGTACTCTCATTCAACCGGCCACAGCTGTCAAGGAGTAACCCAAATCTAAGCTGGCTGAGGCTGCTTTTTTCCAATGCAGGGCTCCAGAGGCAAGAACCTGATCTAAAAACAAGAGTACAACTTGTAGAACGCATTGCTTGTGGGCCAGATAAGGACAGGAGACCAGGCGTGTAATATGTGAGATCTAGAGATTTCACACTGCTACCAAGACATGAGAATGAGTTAGTTACACTCTTACTTTCTTCTGTACCTAAAGGACAAACTGTTTTGTGTAACTCCTTTGGCTGGCCACACAGACCTCAAACTCTTGATTCAAACTTTGGAGACTTTGTCACCAGTTTTTGTAATTTGCATAGCTTGCAATGATTCACCACGTTGTATTCTGATTTAATTATACATAGAGATGCTGGAATTAATGGGATTTATACAATCAATCAGATTAACTTAAATCTTTGTATTGAAAACTAGGCAACATCTAATATACTTTTAAATATTTGAAACAGATTTGTCTATATAAATTTGTCAGTCAATGTAAAAGTCGTGTACTTATCCATGTTGCAAAATTAGCCTATTAACTTCTTTCCAGCCCTAAGGTGAACCCATTACAGGGGTTTTCTGAGGCTAAGAGTGTGTAACCTGCCCAAGGTTTTCATGGCAGAGTGGGGGTTTGAATCCTGGTCTTCCAACCAAAACAAATTCTTTGGGTTTTAGCCCAAAGTTATTTGGAGTATTGATTCACAAAATTGCATTGGATAGACTGCATCAGCTATACTTTCTTAGATATGGTTATCATGATTTCTTATGGGTGAGCAGATGGAAACTGGTATATGCCATATTTTCTCTATCTCAAAAAACTAGAGCTGATAGGGGAAAACCATTGATGTCGTGGATAGCTCTGATAGTAAGGGTGAAGAGGTGCTGTTTGAAGGGCCAGCATTTGAACTAAAGCTCAGCAGTGCCCACCAACTTCCTCAACCGATCATAGAAGAGGTGTCTACGGAGGAAGCTACCACTTCTCAGCCTGTAGGACAAATAATTGCAAGTTCATCTAAGCAGGCAGGAGCAGAGTGAAGTGTTTCAGCTCTTTTAGGACTGCATCAGACAGGCTGGGAACTTACACAGTTCCCTAAAGTCTTTCCCCATCTTCAGGGATGCCAGCCATCCCACATGCTTACTGTGCCTTTCCCCAACTTTTCCCAGTTTTTTCCTGCATTCTTCAGCTTGGAATCAGGTAGCATTCGCCTCCTGAAGATGGTTTTCTGATTTGGTTTCCATGCCCTTAGGAAACAGAGTGCCAAGGAGTCCCATCAGAAGTGCCCTGATGCCCTTGTGGGACTTCCATGGGGTTTCATTTCCTAAATGCATGGAAACAGAGCCCGAAGAATGTCTGGTGAGGTCTTTAGACTTGTAAAAGGAAAAAGTTCAACTTTGCTGGTCCTCCAGCTTAGCAGATAAATGAGCTATCAATAGGCAACGGCTGAGAAGCTAGCATAAAAGGTGCTCTAAAGTGGCACCTTGTTGTTGGCAGCAACTTTGGTGTTTGGAACTGTGACCTCAGACTGTTGCCGATGTTTGGTTTTGTGAACTTTGGACTATCTCTTTGACTCTGGCATTCAGATTTGTGGATTAACCTTGGATTCTGGTATTTGTTGGAATTGGATCTGGATCTTGAAATAGACTATAGGCTTCCCTGTTGTTCCCTGCATTTTGTGTCTTCTCGGCTGAATTAAGTGGTTTGGACTTTGGGTATTTGCTAATCTCCTGTTTGGAAATGGAATCTTGGCTTTACGACAGGTGCCATTTTTTTAAATCAGCAGGTCAAATATACCCAGACACAGGTCTAACAATAAGGCACCAAAATGTGTGTCAGCCAGTGTTATTATTATTTTTATGACTTCTAAAACCAAAATGATCTGTGCTACATGGGAAGTGAATACAGTGTTAGCTGGAGGTGTAAAGGACTGGCTGAGCCCCCTTTAAACGTGCAAAGCATGTGCCTCTGCTGCTTTACAAGAGATGCATTACAGACACATATATCCAAAAGGTAACAAAGCAATCAAACACTCTGCATGTGGTGGAAGTAGTGTGGTCTCTGCAACCATCAAGTCAAAAGCTCATGAAAGGATGAATGGGATGGAGGCTAGGCTTTCCCCTTTATTCTGCCACTGGGGACTCCTGAGCCATGGCAATTTCAGTAGCATAAAACTGCATTAATTCTACAGTGCAGATGCACCCCTAGTCATGTAGCTTTCAGTATGACTTGCCTACATTTTGAAATATTTGGGGGATAGTCCATCCTTCAGTCCCATCCTTCTCACAGGCATGTTTTCTAAGGAGTATAGGAAGGGTCTTTTCAGTGGTTGCTCCTAGACAGCACAGTTCCCTCCCTATTCTTCTCTCCTTACGTCAGCAGCCAAAGACCATTTGGTCAGTTATTCCAGAAGAGTTTTTAATGGGAAGTGGCATACTTTCTTCTACATCTGTTACTGGATTTAAAAAATAATTTAAAGCTGTTTTCAGTAGAGTACTGCCTATA